ACTCCCTGATCCGGTCCCGAGGGTGCCAGACCAGAGAGGTTCCAACCTGTAGTAAGAGGTCCAGGATGCATACAATAACCTTGTATTGCACTTAAATATATTCATATGAATACTGACTTTAAAAACAATCTCTGAAATATTTCTATCCAGTGATGAAGTCAGTTTCACACACCCCTCTGATTTGTGCTTTAAACCTTCTCTCAGGCTTAAAACGACTTCTAATCTTGCCAGAGTGTCTGACAGAAAAAATTATCATCCCACAAGTAATTGTTCATGTGCATGTCACAGAAGAATGGAATTTTCTGAGATATTTGTCTCATTCTACAGAGGAAATAAATCCAGCCCTTTTAAACTAGTTTTTCTTTCTGCTATTGCTTTTAATAAACTAAAGAAAGGGAATGGAAGAGCAAAGGGAATCATTATAATATTGGGGAATATTAATAAAGTTGGCACATAAAAAAAAATCCTCCTTCCAAGCTTAAAAAAATACTGAGGGTAGCATAAGTTTAGGAATACAATTATGGAAGCTAAAATGAAGACAGAAAATAACATAATTCAGTCATCTATCACTGTCTAGGGATCCTGTTACACATTGGTTTTTTTCCCCCATAGCTACTTATGAGTTTTCCCTAGTTATTGGAATGGAAGCCATTGTACAATTAATAACAGCCATGACAGCATCTTTTTCTTTGAATAGTCAATAGGTTGAATTTTTTTACTCTCAGATGGGAACTTTGCTACTGTCATCTGTGCCATTGTTACCCCATGATTAGATTACTGCAATATGCTCTATGTGCAACTACATCCTAAATCTGTTTGGAAATGGAGCTGGTGCAGAACTTAATTACCTCATGTTAAGCTGTTTGTCTAGTAAGCTTATTACACCAGTGTTCCGTGATCTCTACTGGCTACCTGTTGATCTTCAGGCTGAATTTAGTGTTGGTTTTGACCTAAAGAACTCTAAATAACCAAAGTTCTGTTGTGAGACTGCCTCTCTTCTTACTAGTCAGGTAATGCTGGAGTTAGCAAAGGTGCTGTTAGCAGGTGAGTCTCTGGCCAGATCTATCCTAGACCTGGAAGGTCGGCTTCAGGTACACAACTCCAGCTACATAAACAACATAGCTGGAATTGACATACCTTAAGCTGAGCTTAGCATCATCTTCACAGTGGGAAGACAATGGGAGTAAACACTCCTGTTGGTTTCCCTTACTCCTCGTGACTGAAAGGAGTATTGGCGCCAATTGGGAGTGCCCTCACCATTCGATTTAGCAGGCCTTTACTAGACCTGCTAAATCAAATGCCAGAAGTTCGATCTCCGGTACGGCAAGTGACCTCTACTAGGGCGCCTCCATTATGGAACTAATTCCCTCTTGGTCCAAAATGCTCCAGATTTCACTCTCTGAAGCACACTCCAAGGCCTTTATATTCTCCCTAGTTTCTGGAGAACAGAAAGAATTCTGAGCCAGTCTGCATAGGGATGGGAGAATAAAGTAATTTTGGGCTTTTTAGGAGGGTTAGACTGGCTTGTTGGAGTTATAGCAATGCTGGATTTGCTATAATAATTGCATTTCTTGCAGTTGTCAAATACATATAAAACTATGGGTGAATAGTTCTTTTATCTTTAGAAAATATATTTATGTTGATAAAGACTAAGCACCCCTTTCAAGTCTGCTCATACAGACATTTTTTTCATCTTCTTATGGATGCACAGTTATTCCCCGTGGTTTACGGTGAGGTCACATGGAAGATAGAACAGATGTATGCCGGTGAAGAATATTTTGCTTCCAGTGCAGTTTGCTAATGTAGCCTGATCTTGCTCTCCTTGCCCCCAGTGACTGATGCTATGTGGGCTTAAAATTAATGTCTTACTGGTACAGATAGCAACAGGTTCAAGTCCTTACAGGATTTAGTCAGTCCTTCTTTCTTCCAAAGTAAATGAGTTAAGTTCCAGACCCTGTGGCGAGCCTCGGAGATTAGATTAAAAACAGACAAACAAACAAAAAACAACATCCTGTCTACTCTGCACAGACATTAAAGATCCATTGATATTTTTTGCAAGACCCTGCCTAAGGAATGGACTTTAAAAGTCAAAGTATGTGTTATGTTAACATGTGGTTTATATCCCTTTGCCTTGTCTCCTGGCAAATTGAAGAGATAGTTTGCATTTGTCTGAATACCTCTGAGAGCAGGCTGGGGGAAATCAATGTAGCAGTAGTAAATAACCCAGAGAGTCAGCTGATGACTCAGTTTTAAGCCCCAGTTTTCAAAAGTGCATTCAAACATCTGTGCATACCTGACGTGGTGGTCGTGAAGTTGGGTACGTGCAAAACTGTGCAGGCACATTTCAAATAGGGGCCTGAACCTAGCTGATCGCTATTGTTGATCTTAATGCAGAAAAGAATCTGTCTTAGAAGAAAATGAGAATGTTTCATTCTCCAAAGCTGAAACCATTAACATGGGGTGGGGAACCTAAGACCCAGGGGTCAAATTCGGCCCGCAGCTTGACTGGATCTGGCCCCCCAAGACTCAGAGCTCCCCCCAGCATGGGAATCCTTTGCTGGTGCTCCAGATCTATTCTCCCCCACCACCGCCATAACTCTCCCTGCAGGCCTGGAGCACCAGCACCGGCTCCTCACTGTGGGAAGGAGAAGCCCAGAGCCTTGTAGGCAAGACAGAGCTAGATCTGACCTATGGGCTCTGTCTGGTGGGGGGAGGGCTCAGCTCTGAATGCTGTTCACTCTCTCCCCATCTGGTGCAGTAAAACACAGCCTGTAGGCTTTCCTCCCACAAAATCTCCTAGCCCAGGTCTCACTAAGCTTTGGAGTGCAAGGGGAATATAAGGGAGTGTCTTTCTGCTTCTCGGTTGGGGGCCATGTCAGTGAGGTGGGCATTTTGTTTTGTTTTGTTTTTTGCTTCTCCCTTGCAGCCCTTGACTGGGACACCTTCTGATCCCCCTTTTTCCGCAAGATCCTTATGCCCCCAAAAAGGAAGTATACCAATCTTGTAGAAAAAGGGTTTTTTGCACAAAAAGAAAACGTCTACACTGCTTGTTTTTGCACAAAAACCCCAGCACAAAAATGGATCGGCAGAAAATATGCAAATGAGATCGCGATTCATGCAAATGAGTCCCTCGTTTGCATATTTTTTGCCGAGAAAACTCGTAGTGTAGACGTAGCCTCTGAATTAAAAGATGAGTAGAGACCTGAAAATCTGCAGGTGTCCTCTTTATAGCTGCTGCCCATGTTTGTGGTTGTGGATCCCGGATTGGATGTGAGTACACATTCTGTATCCATGCAGGGCTCTAAAGGTGAGCCACCTTCACAGGGCAGTGAGAGGAAAATTTAATCGATGACACCTGGGATTTCTCAGTTTTACATTGTTATTGTGATTATTTATTTGGATAGGCAAAACCAACTAGGAGTCCAGTGGCGCTTTAAAGACTAACAAATGTATTAGGGAATTAGAGCATAAGCTTTCATGAGCTACACCTCACTTGGAAGTCATGAAAGCTCATGCTCTAATACCCTAATAAATTTGTTAATCTTTAAAGTGCCACCGGACTCCTAGTTGTTTTTGCTGAAACTGAGACTAACACAGTTCCCCTCTGAAACCTATTTAGATAGGGTAGCTCCTAGGAATATTAGTAATTATAGAGTGCTATCCAAAATATTGCTAAATATGGGTATTTTAAAATATATTGATATTCAAAATTTGTTGGTACAGTTGTATTTGATCATTACAAGAGCATCGCTTTGGTGCAAAATGATTGTAAAACTCACTAATAAATAAATAGACCCATCAATCACTGCATTAGAGAACCTAGGGTACGTCTACACTGCACGCTTATTTCAAAATAAGCTATTCTGGAAGAAATACTCTGAAATAGCTTATTTCAAAGTAGCACGTCTACACTATGGGGAAGCCTCAAAATTAGTCCTCGGCAGGCTTCCCTAATTTGGACACACTACCTCAGTTTAGAGCCCTAGGAGGCATTGGGGAGTAATTAGCTTGTATGGTCCTGGGGAGGAGCTATTTCGAAATAGCAGCAGTAGAGCGTTCACACTACTGCTATTCCGAAATAGCTATTTCAGAATAGGGGTTATTCCTCATGGAATGAGGTTTACAGAAGTCAGAATAAGCCATCCATTATTTTGAATTTATTTCAAAATAACAGAATTGCTGTGTAGACGCTCGCATTGTTATTTTGGAATAACGGCCGTTACTCTGAATTAAAGCTGCTGTGTAGACACAACAAAAATATTGGTCTCCCCACACCACCTCCAGCAGAGCTCACATTACCACTGCCAAGCCCTATCCAACACCCAATTCCCATGGGTAAGGGAGAAAAAGTGCATCTTGCAGTGTGCCCTGAAAACTAACAATCTTTCACTCAATGGGCCTGAGGAGGAAGTAAATTCCACAGGCCTAGGGACTCACAGTGTTTTCAGTTTCCTTCACCACCAAGATGGCCTATTTCAAAACTTTGTTTCTGCTTTAAAAATAGTTGAGTACATCATTTACGTTTGTTTTGAGGGGGGATCCTGCATTTTCTTTGAGGACTTTTTTTTTAATCAACCTGTTGGTTACCTTTTTCCAGATACTTGCTTTCTCTCTTGAAGATTAAGTGGTGTGTTCTGCCTTTGCAGACCAATTGGCATTATTTTGAAATATTGAGTTCCGGCAGTTAATACATCCGAAAGATATGTCTTCATGCGACCACATTCATCATGTTAACTGAGTTAAGAAAAATCAGAGCCCGGTGATGAGAAATGTCATTTGTGAAAGAAACCAGAGTTGGAACAACTTAATTTTTAGAACAATTCAATTTCGGGTCCTGACAGCCTGGGCAGACAAGTTAATTTAGAAGAAAAAAAGAAAAAGCATTTCATGGGCAGGTAGTCGATGAAATTAGAAGTTACACTACGCCAGAGTTTATCGTATCTTTTATAAGCCTGTCATCGCTGCCTCCTCCTCTCTCTCTTTCACTCTTTTTTTTCTAGACCCCTGAAGAGTTAGAGGATGATTCAGACTTTGAACAAGAAGATTATGATGTTCGCAGCCGAACGAGTGTGCAGACTGAAGATGACCAGCTTATTGCTGGGCAGAGCGCAAGGGTGAGTATAAAATCCTGCATGCCGTCAGCTCTGGATACAGCTCCAAATGACAAGTTATGCCTCAGAAAGCAAATTGGGTGATTTTAAATTGTCGGGGGGTCACTTTAGTACGGAGGCTGGCAATTTGGGTTTTCAGGCGTCACTATGAAGTTAGGTCTTTGCAGTGCATTTGGAAAGGACCAAGTTTATTATATGATTTTTATCAGGACTATGGAGTGTCTGGCACCAGTTGTTCGCTCAAACGAGAACGGTAGCACAAGGCAGTGCACATTCGGAATGTACGGTATAGCTGGGAGTGTTCAGGAAATGTAAAACAGAACACCAAATGGTAAAGGCACAGTCTGCAGTGTCTGAATCTCACGTACATTTGTCATGTTTCTCAGTGTGCTGACCTGTCTAGAGGAGCAGTTTAAGGTGCTGAGTGCTCTCTGTAATCTAATTGTAATTGAAGACATTTCTTACTGAGTCAATGCAATTTTTGCCAGCATAATTATATCATGATAAACTGGAGACATTGTGATTTGTGACCTTCGCTTATGCATGGGGATTGCAAATGGAGCTGACAAGAGCTTCAAGGGTCAGAGATGCTGGAGAAATGAAGTTGGCTGACCCTCAGGATTATTCCAGCCTCTGATTAATGTTTACCTTTCGCTAAGTAGGCTGCTCAGTTCAGATAAGAAATCAAGTGAATACTGTGTTGTTAACAAATCACATGAACATGCAGTTGACTGGAAAGAGAGTTTAACATGCTCCCTTTTTTCTAACCTGGTACAGAAGCAGTGGAAAGATACTGTGGAGAACGGAAAGTATAAATCTTATGTTTATGAGTATTATGGATGCCTCTTTGGGCATGTCTGTATTTTGAAATAACTCCCCCTATTTTGAAATAAGAAGGCAAGTGTCCACACTACCAAGCCTGTTGTTTTGAAATAATGGTGTTGTTATTTCGAAATAATGCTTGTGAATAGGAGTAAGCTTATTTTGAAATAGTTATTTCAGGAGTTATTATTTCAAAATAGCGTATTTCAAAATAACCTGGTAGTGTGGACATAGCCTATATGTTTGTTTATGGGGGGTTACTTACTTTTCAGATAGCTCAAAAGAGCGTTATTAGGGGAATTAAACTGGAAACAATAGCCTAGATGGGGAGCATCCCAACCAAAACTGAAACACCAGTGTCAAGTTAACTACAGCAACTTCTTGGTCCCAACCCTGGTTAGCAGTTTGCCAGAGATCAAAAGAGGTTACAAAGGAAGGGGGGGAAGCTCTCTCTTCTGCAGCAGGCCAACCACACTGCAGAAGGAGCAGGGCTTGCAGCAAACGGGCTGTAACTTGGCCTCTAAGAGAAAAGAGGCACTGAGAGCATGTCATGTCTACCTTGAGGGGAAAGCCAAATGTAGGTAAAATCATGTGCACACAGAGATCTCTGTTGTCTTATATCCATGCCTGAGTGCTGTGAACCTTTTAGCAAATAAATCCTACCTTCTTTTGAAGAAATTGTCTCTGTATTACTGCTTGCTAATGCTGCCCACAGGGCCCTGGAGGAAAACTCTTGCAAGTGCCAAACCTGTTAGGCCTCCTAGATATCGTGGCTAGTAACCAGGAAGATTGGAAATCAAGAGACCCTGTCAGAGACTGGTCAGATCACAGGATCCCCTCTAGAGAGAGGTAGAAGAACAGACTTTTCATTTCAAAGGGGGGCTCTTACGGGACTGGCAAAGAGTCTCAGAAGAGGCAGCCTGCCCAGGGAACCTGGCAGGTATATCTGAGAGGTTTTTGTGGTTTAAAGAGCGTGACATAATATTTAATGCATGCAGAAAGCCTGAGAGCTGAAGTAAACTATTTCCTGTTGCTGTTTATGTGATTCCGATTCTGCTCTTGTCTCTTTCATGGGGCAGTGGGATCGGGCTGCTCTTTCAGTAATTAAAATGTAATAAAAATAAATGGAGATGAAAAGAAAGAAGAACAGTGACACCATTTTCTTTAAGGGCCTATTCCAGCTAGCGGATGAGGAATCTCAAATCCCATTATTGTTATTTGTGTGTTTGTCCATGGTGCTGGGTACTGGCAAAAAATGTAACTGTCAGTCACCCCCTGAAAGGCTTACCATCGAAATAGAAGAGAAGAACTAATGGGCAGATACAACAGCACCAGAGGGAGCACAGGGTGAAAATGAAATGGTCAGGGAGATACGCATAAGCCACAAAAGCCACTGGGCTCAGTGACCCTTTGAGCTGAAGCTACTCAGCCAGGAGTGCCTGAAGCAAGTGGGGTCCCCCAATCTACCTCATGCACTAAGGTCCCATCCCTGCTGCACCTAGTC